TTTTTTTTTTTTTTTTTTTTTTTGCTAGTAACACTGAGCATCTTTTTGAGTGTTCTTTGGCCATTCCTGTTCCTCTTCTGTGAGTTGCCTATTAATAGAATTGGTCCTTTGGCTCTTGGACTCTTTCTTATAGATTCATAGGGTCACATGGAGCATGGAAGGGTGGTGTCTTTGTCTCATGAATTTGAGGAGTGAAATCCATGGACACAAGGGTGAAAGCAAAATAACAGGATTTATTGAAATAAGAAAGAAAAAAGAGCTCCCAAAGAGGAGAGGCCCCAAGAGAGGGATGCCAACAGATGTCTATGGTCTAGGTGTTTTTAAAGGTCTATCTGATAACCCAGTGCAAGAGATTGGTAGAATCAGGGATGACAGCATGGACCAATCAAACACTTCCTGCTTTAAGCTTAATAAGCCAATCATAAGTGCATAATTTCAATCCCTTATTTACATAATTATGGGGACAGTTCCAACCTTGTGGTTTGACATATTAGGGAGAAGAAGACTCTTCAGGTAAGGGTCTACTTTGTGATCAGATGTTGCCAGGGGTAGGGACAAAGGTGACTAAAGAGGGGCTGCTCTGGTTGAAGCTGTGAGGAACAGAATTAGAAATTCTAACTCAGTCCTCCAGACCCGAGGTCTACCTTCAGGTTGGCATGATGCCCCCTCCCCTCCTTACCTTCTCCAAGGCCCTTATCCTGGCTGTCGATGGAAGACCTATCTTCCTGCCTCAATAGGAGTTCTGTAGATGCTTTGGATACTCACTCTTTTCTTATAATATGGGTTGTTAGTATCTTTTCAAAGTCTATGTCTGACCTTTATCATACCAATTTAGTTCTGATGTTATAAAAGTTAATGTTATTTTTAATGCTTTGTGCTTTTCATGATCTGTTTCAGAAATTTTTTCCTAACCCAATGCCATAAAAATAATTGCTTGTGTTTTTAATTTTTTTAATTATTACRGTTTTACTTTTCACATTTATATCTTTAATCCACCTTGAATTTATTTTCATAGAGTGATATAATTGCATTTGCTATACTAATATTGARTTATCTTAGTTTTACTTATTTGTTCTCTATACCTTTGCATGCTGATTTTTTTACATCAATTTCCTGTTCATATCTGTGTGTGTTTCTAGGTGGTAAACATTCATTGTAATCATTTAGCCCAGTACTAACTTCACATTGCTTCAACAAATGTAGCTTTATAAAGAAATTTKATTTCTGGCATAGCAAATCCCTCCTTCTGGTTATTCCAAAAGAATGTCATTTTTTTATCAAGTTTTATTATTTTTTATTTTTTAGTATCTTTTTCCATATTTTATTGGTGCATTATAATTTTCATAGTGGTGGGATTCATTGTTACACRTTACATATTACCTTTTTACCTCCATTGTTACATAATAATGGGATTCATTGTTACATGCTTATGACATAGCAATGTAATTTGGTCTCCATCCTTCCCCAGTATTTCCTTCCGTTGTCCCTCCCCCTACCCTTTACTCTTTCATGTACATTTTAGAATATGTTTATCAAGGTCAAAACACACACTCATTTGATTTTTTATTGGAACTGCATCTCTGTAATAGTAGTACTACCACATCAGTCCCCATGAACTCAATGTTTCTCTCCACTTATTAAGGGTTTCRYTTTTTGCCATTCAGTAGTATGTTGTGATTTTTACATTAAGATCTTGCACATCATTTTACGTATTTATTACTTAGCTGCTTATAATGTTTGCTGGTATTCTAAATGATAACTTTTAAATTGCCTTTTGTTTTTTACTAGAGAACAAAAATGCAATTTAATTTCCAATATTGATTTTTTTTATCCAGTAAGCTTGTTTTGAACATTCTTATGAGTTCTGATTATTTATGTGGATATTCTCTTAGGTTTTCTATGTATAAAATTAGATTTCAAAGAATAATAGTTTTATTACTTTCTTCACTCTCCTTATACATCTTCCTTCTTTTTCTCAACTTTGTGCAGCTTAAGACCTCCTATATAATGTTAAACAGAAAACAAGATAGTGATTGTATTTGTCTTGTTCTTGATTTAAAAGGGAATGTTAAGTATTTTACTACTAGGATGTTTGTTTGGGGCTGGGGTTGATATCTATTATCAAATTAAGAGAAATGTCTTTATTGCTACTTTTCCAACAGTGTTTTAGAAATCCTATGTATCTATTTCAGTAGTTACACAGTTTTACTTCCTTAATCTATTAACAGTGAACTATTTCATAGACTTTTTTTAGTATTTGCYAACTTCACATTTCCAGGATAAGCTGGATTTAGTCACCATATATTGACTTTTATACAATAGTTAGAATTTCTTAAATTTTTATTTATTAGTGAGATCGAGCATATAATTTTATTCTCATATGCTACCTCATTAATACAGTGTTTTATTTAACTTTCAGAATTTTGCCCATCTGGTAAAAAATAATAATTAGGGTTGTTTTGATGTACATTTCTATTATTATGAGGCTGAGTGTCTGTTCATGTTTGACATCCTAATTTATATAAGCTTAAAAGTAATTAAGCAGTTTGGATATGCATTTCTATGGTTACAAGTAAAGTTAGACCTCTATTCATATGTCCAAGAGACATTTTCATTTCCTTTACCGTAAACTCCCTTTCCATATTCTTCATTCTATCATTCTATGGATTTTCTAATCTTTTATTTGTAGATAATTTTTTACATATTAAAGAGATTAATCATTTGACAATAATCTAAATTAACATATATTTTCTTAATTTTTCCTTGTATTTTTCTTAATTTTTCCTTTGTAGTTATTGTTATTCTTTGCCTATGGTATTTCAACCATGAATTTAAAAAAAAAATTTGTGTTTCCAAATTTATCAAATTTTATGCATCAAATTTATCTTTCTGCTAAAACAAATTAGTTGAGTTATAGTTAGAAAGTCCTTCCCCACTCAGAGGTTATGAGAATATTTTCTTTTTTGTTTTTATGGGGATTTTTTTTTCCTGATAGTTAAATCAATGACCCATTTAAATTTACCTTAGCATACGATGTAAAATAAGAACCCAACCCTGATTTTTTAGTTCTGTTTCCTTAATACTACATATTGAATTATTAAATAGTTCATCTTTTTTTCCCCATGGATTTTAGGAATCATATTTATTTTATGCCAGATTCCATGAAACCACCACTGCTTTCTCCCCCTTCTTTCTTATAGAAAGTGATAGTTCACTCTTCTGAAATATATGAATTTACAATATATGTTTCTTATGGCTCTTTTCACCCACTGTCTTAAAGCTAAATAAGTTTTATATCTCTGGCTAAATGTTAAGCTCTTTAAGAACACAATTTCCAGAAGGGCCAACAATACAGTAATTATTAAGTGTTTTACGTGAAAGAAGAAAAGTCCATTGAAATGCTACCAACTGTCAATACCGGAACAATGCTCTATACCAATGCCAATGCCCTCCTCCCTGCCCCATCCATTGCTAGACACTCTCCTATCCTGGGTCTGGTGCATTCATAGTGTCTGTCCAGCTCACCAGCAAGAGAGGTGGAACCTGGTTAAACACCAAGAGACCCGTGCTCCAAGGCAAGATAACCGTCCATGTCTGATTGCATCATTTAGCAAGATGCCAAAGCTGCCCATCTGCCCTCTGTTGACTCCCAGGAGAGATCCCAGATCTCTACTCAGATGATGAAGTTGAGAACATCATAAACAATGTGCGGAATGAAGTCAGGAGCCAAGGTCTGGTTGACAACAGGGACAACTGCTGGAAGTTCTTCATAGATCGAGTCCGACGGCAGCTGAAGGTAAAGAAAGATTGACCCACTGGGTAGACAGGGACCTGAAATGGTTCATGGGAGTCTACTGATATTTTTGGACATAGCCATCCTTACTGATTTTCTTGAGGGTAGGGGTGAGAGCTCCGTGCCCTTGTCCGCCTGAGCACCACTGGAAAGATGACTTTCTCATCTGCTTTATGGACCGTGCCCTCCCTTACATAATGTAGTTCCAGCGTTTCTTGATCTCTTGCTAGGAAAGCTGGCTAGTGTGTATGGATCTGGTCTCTGTTAGATGTGCTTCACAATTCCCTGGAAGATCAGGAATCCAAAGCCATGTCTGCTTCTCCCCCCACCTCATTTTTTTATTGATGCATTATAGTTGTACAGATGGATGGGACCTTTTGTTACATATTTGCACATGCACACATCATGCCAATGATTTGGCCAATATCCTTCCCCAGCATTRCCTCCACATCCCCCGCCCTGCAGTCCCTTTTCTCTACTGATCTYCCTTCAATTTTTAGGAGATCTACCCTCACCTTCCTTTTCTTTTCCTCTCTGGCTTCCATATATGGGAGAAAACATACGACCCTCACCTTCTGAGACTGACTTATTTTGCTTCCCATGATGGTCTCTGGTTCCATCCATTTTCCTGAAGATGCCATCATTTCATTTTTATTTATGGCTGAATAAAACTCCCATATATAACAATAGTTACATTTTCTTCATCCATTCAYCCACTGATAGACACCTAGGCTGGCTCCAGAGTTTCACTACTGTGAATTGTGCTGCTGTTGGCTCTGCATGTGTCAATGGAGTAAGGTGGCTTTAATTCTATAGGGTAAATACAGAGGAGTGGTATGGCTGGGTCAGATGGCAGCGGTTCCATGCCCAGTCTTTGAAGGAGCCTCAATACTGATTTCCATAGCGGTTGTACTAACTTATGATTCCACTGATGGTATAAAAGTGTTCCTCTTTCTCCAGCATTTATTATTGCTTGTCTTCTTGACGACTGCCATTCTGACATGTCTCCTTCTCTGTGTTTCTCTGGTACCTTTCTTTGCTCTCTCCATCCTTCTGACTTCTCAGGTGACTCTCTGTTTCTCCCCCGTGGGGAACAAGCTGAGGGTCCGCAGCAGGAAGTTCCCAGCCATTGTGAACTGCACGGCCATCGACTGGTTCCATGAGTGGCCTCAGCAAGCCCTGGAGTCTGTCAGCCTCCGCTTCTTGCAGGACACGGAGAGCATTGAGGTGAGAGGGGGAAAAGGAGACACTCCTCATCTCAGGGCACAGAGGATTCCRCATCCAGAGGTCAGGGTTAAAGTTCAAGCTCAGATAGAATGAAATTGGGACACAATTTTCCATGTGGTGAAGGAAGAACTGGGGTGGGCTGTCTCCTTTGAGCTTCGTGGCAAAGTGATCTCCTTATTCCTGCTGTGTGATTTTTTAGCCCACAGTCAAGCAGTCCATTAGCAAGTTCATGGCCTTCGTCCACGCGAGTGTCAACCAAACCTCCAAGTCTTACCTGAGCAATGAGCAGCGCTACAACTACACAACTCCCAAGTCCTTCCTGGAGTTCATCAGGCTGTACCAGAGCTTGTTGCGCAGGAACGGAAAAGAGCTAAAGTCTAAAATGGAGCGACTCGAGAATGGGCTTCTGAAGCTTCATAGCACCTCTGCCCAGGTGAGTCATGCCCTTCTCTCCTGCCTACAGAGGACTTAGAGGAATAGAAATGGTCCCAAACCAGCACAATGGAGGGATTGCAATCAAGATCTGGAAAACATTTATCATTTTCCAAGGGTCTGCAGCAGAAACAGTGCCAAAAGTTAAGGCTGACCTCCCCCAACAGAGACACATGTCCATACTTTCATATCAGGTCTGCCCCCTCTGATGCTGGCATCCCCTGAGCCACCTCTTCTCTTTTCCTCTTTGCAATCTTCTCCTTTTCCTCCACTTTACTTTTCTCTCCAATTCACTTCCTTCTTGCCTTAGTCTGTTTTGTGTTGCTATAGCAAAATACCTGAGGTGGTGTGTTTTATAAWGATAAGAGGTTTATTTGGCTAGCAATTCTGAATATTCAAGTTCATGGCACCAGAATCTTATGGTGGTTGGTGGGAGCACATGTAGAAGAGGTGTGTGGTGCCTACAGAAGAGGAGATCAGGACTGATGCCAGGTACCTTATGACAACTCATTCTCATGTGAACTGATCCAGTCCCATGAAATCAAAGCTACTCCTGAAAGATGGCATTAACCCATTCATGAGGGTGGAGTCCCTGTCACCTAGTTGCCTTCTGCCAGGCCTCACCTCTTAATGATTCCATCACCACACCAGGGACATGGCTTCCAGAACATGAACCTTTGGAAGAAAATCCACACACAAACCGTAGCTCCTTCCATCCTTAGAATGAAAGGAAATGAATGGCGGAGAAAGCAGTCTCAGGGTTATAATGGTTTTGATTCTTCCTGTGTTATCTGTCAAAGAGCCTTTGGGACCCACTTCTTAACTTCTGCCTCATTTCAGGCATTTCTTCTGATGTTTCCAAGTTGTTGGCCACCCTAAGAAGGCCCTGTCCTCTGGCCCTTGTTAGATTTTTCTACTTAACKCTTGAAAAGTGGAACAGGTCTGTTTCAACCTGCTCTTCTGCCCTTGAGAATCGGGGATCGCTCTGGCACCAGCTCTGCCCCTGTCTTGGCTTCCTGAGGATCACTGTTCAATTGATGGCCCCTTTCTCTTCTCTGCTTACCAGCAGCAGAGACGGCCCTCGTTCGGGTGATGAAATCGTGATCAACTTAGTTCCTAGAGGTCACATGTTCCTGTGGATATCTAAGCCTTTTTTTTTTTTTTTTTTTTTTTTTTGGTCTCAGAATTTTGCCTTTGGGGGCTGAGGTTGTAGCTCAATGGTAGAGCACTTGCCTAGCATGTGTAAGGCACTGAGTTTGATTCTCGGTAAATAAATAAATAAATAAATAAATAAATGTCTGTTGACAATTAAAAATATTTTTTAAAACATAGAATTTTGTCTTTGGAATTACTCTTTTGACTTGTCCCTCCTCCCCTTCTTTATTTGTTCCACATTTTTTTGTGCATCATAGTTACATGCACTGATGAGATTTGTTGCTACATGTTTGTACATGCACACCATAACAATATAACCGTATAATGTGTCCAGTATCACTTCCCAGCACTTCCAAACCCCACCCTTGGTCCTTTTCTTCTACTGGTTTTTCTTTGATTTTTTTTTGAGAGATCCACCCCCCTCTTTTTTTCCTTTCTCCTTGCTAGCTTCCACATATGAGAGAGAACATGCAACCCTTGACCTTCTGAGTTTGGCTTATTTTACTTGACAATAAGGGTCTCTGGTTCCATTCGTTTTTCTGAAAAAGGACATCATCTTATTTTTCTTTATGGTTGAGTAAAACTCTATGGTGTATATATAATACGTTTTCTTTATCTATCCATCTGTTGATGGACATCTAGGGTGGTTCCATAGTTTGGCTGTTGTGAATTGTGCTGTTATAAACATGGGTGTGCATGTATCTCTATGGTATGATGACTTTAATTCTTCAGGGGAAATACCGAGGAGTGGTATGGCTGGGTCATGTGGTGGTTCCAGGCCTCGCCTTTTGAGGAGMCTCCATATTGATTTTCATCTACTTCAGTTTCTTGATTCGGAAACATAATCTGTCTAAAGGATCTGAGTTCATTTAGCAGTTCATGGGCCCCTGTGATCCCTACACCATCTGGGACTGAGGAAAGCCCTCTTCTGTTATCTGACTTTGTCCATCTGGTCTGGCCTCTCCTCTAGGAGCACTGGTTTGCTGAATGATTTCCCTGTTCCCTTTATCCATTATGTTCTTGCTCATTATTTCCATCCCTTTGGCCTTTTTCTTTGTGTTCTAGGGCAGCTTTTCAAGTTTATCTTCAACAATACTGATTTAATGGTATGCAATGCTTCTCTGCTTCCTGTACTTTGCAGTGAAGACTTTAATCATGCCATTGCATTTTTAATTCCCTAACAGCTCTTCCACATCTCATCCTTTCTGCTTTTTTGGTTAAAAAGCAAATGGTATACCCTATTGCTTTTTAATTTCTCTTTTCCTGAAACTCTTTCACAGAACCATTCTACAGATGACGCCAAACGGTTTCCGCCATATTGTTTTCTAGGTYTGATAATGGACCATTTTCAAAGTGGTGTCGATTTTCCATCTTCTAGATGTTATTGCTTTCTTTCTCTGTTCTGCATTGTTGTACAGATGATTTTTTTCTTTATTCACCTTCAGGCAAGGTGAGATCCTTTCAAATTCAATGTCCAACAGCAAATGGCATATGCAAATTATCTTACGATACTACTCCCTTTCCATTTGTGTCATAACCTCAAAATTTACCTGATTGTTCACCTTTGCTACGGAAAGGCAGCATCTTGTCCATCAGTCACCTTCTGTTCCTCTCAGTCTCTGAATTTATAGAACACAATTCTAGAATGCAGTACTATCAGATGGTTTCAACATCGCCCACCTCTTCCCCTTCCTTTGTTTCCTCATACCTTCAATGCTCCTAGAACATTCTGCATTTCTATCAGCGGTTCCCTGCTCTACTTCCTGCCCATTTATCCTCTAGRAATTGCTGGTTGGTGTGTGTAAAGAATGGCGGCCAGGGAGCAAGGGACGGGAGACACTCTGACCCTCTCTAGAGCAGTAATCTGTTTTGTGCAGATGCAGGGTCCTTGAGCAGACAATGATGAAGGCACACAGGTCTGTGTTCCTGTTTTGGATGACCTCTAATAAGAAGAAGACTGGTGATATTGTTAGGTGAATCCAGCTCTGTTCTCCCATGTCCTGGCATTAAGTTCAGTATCAGACACCACAAAGGCCATCTTTTCCGTCTGTACTTTAATGAATGATACTTCTGGCTACCCAGKTACCTAGGCCAGAAACCTGGGAATTATCCTAGACTCTGTCACTTAAACATTTAAGAATGAACCAGTCTTAGCCAGGCACAGTGACACACACCTGTAATCCCTGCAGCTCAGGAGGCTGACACAGGAGGATCACAAGTTCAAAACCAGCTGTCAGCTTATGCAACTTAGTGAGACCTTAAGTAACCTAGGAAGACCCTATCTCAAAATAAAAAATAAAAAGGGCTGTGGCTCAGTGGTAAAGCACCCTGAATTCAAACCCCAAAATCAAAAAAAAAAAAAGTCTTATGTGTTTCTAAAGATCTCTGAAATATGCCCATCCTTCTGTTTCTGTATCCCTATTTTCAATGTCTTCATTTAAACACTTATTAACAGGGTTATTTCAATAGGCTGAACACTCAGTCTCTCCCTGACTCCAAACCTGCCTTACCCACAACTTGCGGCATCCTCCACACAGGACAAAATCCTTGGGGTCATCCTTGATGCTTCTTATTGCTCTTTTCCTCTTATATGCACACCTAAACCATAAGAAGTTTGGGGGCTGTAACTTCAAAGTACACCCCCAAATCTCTGTACCCACCCCCTCACTGTCGGAGCCACTGGCCCTATTTTACCTGGGTAGCTATAACACCCTTCAAACTCATGGATCTGCTCCGACTTTGGTCCCTCTATAGTCTATCATCAAGTTGAGCTGGCAGAGTTGATTAATTTAACACATAAATGAGATCATGTCATGCGTCTATGTAAAACCTAATGCTAACTCCCTCCAGGGGACTGAGSTCCTCTCTAGATGTGACTCTACCTGTGACTCTCAGACCTCATCTCCTACCACCCCGTACCTGTGGCCTCTGTCTCCATCAGACTTTCACTTTGCTCTCTGCTCAGACACTAGGCCTTTGCACTGGCCTTATCCCTCTCCCTGGACATCTCCCCTCTAACATCACCAAGGCTCAGTTCTTTGCCCAATGCCACCTCTTCAATGAGTCCCATCCCGATGACCTCATTTTAAATCACAACCCTTCCCTTAGTTCCCTTGCTATAGCACACACCCTYATCTAACATAATCTATCATGGACTCCATGAGTTGCATTTATTGTTTGTTATCTATCTCCACCCTTTGGCTCTAGGGTCTGTAATGACAAGATCCTTGTCTGTTCTGTTCACCCATATATCCCAGTGCCTAAGAGTGCCCGCACAGAGAGAGCACTCATTTTACATTTATTGAACAAATGAATGAGCGGTGCTCTTGATCAGTGCTACCTTTGCATATTGTTCCATCCTTTCCCTCCTCCACACTGGACTCTGGACTTCATAGGTGCTCTTTGCGACTCCCCCAAAACTCCTTTCCTTGTGCCTTCACCTTGTCACCTCATCCCTGCCAAGACCTAAACCATTTTGCTACCCAGCCACTCCCCCAATCTCTTTCTAATCTCCAAGCCATTATGAATTTCCTTCTCTGAGGTTTCTTCCTTGACTTCTCTTTCTCCTGCATATATCATGCAATGCTGTTACCAGTTCTTCAAAGAAAAATACCAGGATCCATTTATATTCTATCTCAGAGACCAGCACATAGCAGGTGTTCTGTAAGTCAGTAGCTAAATGGGTAGGTCATTGGATGATGGCTGGATAAACAAATTAGCAAATGAGCAGCTCTCAAATCRCCTACAAGTGCAGAGAGTGGAAGTGGAGAGTGGTTTGGGGCAGTAATGCACGCATGGAATAGATTCCATAAATACCTATTGATGGTTATAATGATGATTCTTCTA